AATAAAGTTTATCAAATGCGCTAAAATCACTAACAAAATGTTCTTAAATCATTTATTTACATACCGACGAAAACTAATCACATTCTAATTCATTTATACACGTCTCAATAGCACTGTAACTATTTAGTACATTCGCATTTAGAAATGACTACACTTTTATTAAACAATCACACTCTTGCATTAAGTTAAAATCATAAATAATACATATAATTTTCGATTCATTTTCATAAATGACGTCTCGCGTTCATCAACTCTTTAATACGCATTCGGACTGTTAATTACCGAGAAAAATGCAAATAAAAGTCTGCCAAGAACTGAGGTCACAAGAGTTTTCAAGTTCTAGGCCAAGGTCCTTGGTTCTGCGCAAGTCTTGAAGGTCAAGGTTGATCAACATGAGGACCAGCTCGGTAGATGGCAACACGTATTCTCGGAATCAGGAATCATTAAATAAAAAAACAAATCCACACGTATTTCATTTTTATAAAGCGTTTGGTGAGTCTTTATTAAGTATCTAAATCGTTTTTTTTCCACGAAGCAGCCACGAGCACGGATTCTTTTTTTTTTTTTTTGTTGCTTATGTGGGTGGACAAGCTCACAGCCCACCTGGTCTTAAGTGGTTACCGGAGCCCATGGACATCTACAACGTAAATGCGCCACCCTTGAGATATAAGTTCTAAGGTCTCAGTATAGTTACAACGGCTGCCCCGCCCTTTAAACCGAAACGCATTACAGCTTCACGGCAGAAATAGGCAGGGCGGTGGTACCTACCCGTGCGGACTCACAAGAGGTCCTACCACCAGTAAGATTCCAGAGAGAAGACCAGATTCGATCGGTATAACACCTTTAATACAATACAATTGAGATTCCAGCTTCAAGTTTGGTGACGGCGTTTCCGCTCCCTCTTTTGACTTATGAAACGAAATTCGTGCACATTGAGGTCGTCTACAGTAGAACAAAGAATAAAAATTTTCGTTTTTATCTTTCACTAGCTGACCTGGCAGACTTCGTAGTGCCTCAATCGATAAGTAAAAGACCTAAACTTCTGTATAAAACAAACTTAAAACAAACAATAGGAATCCGTACGACGTGGGACACATCAAAGGGAAAAGAAAATCGTTATTTTTATTTAATTCCGAGCATTTTCATATTTATCTACCTTTTAAACCTTCTCTGGACTTCCAAAAATAATTCAAGACCAAAATTCGGTCCAGCCGTTCTCGAGAAGACACTATTTAAAAATTAGTGACAGTTTGTTTTTATTCTTGTTTCATTGAGTTATAAAAAATACATCACCCAGTAATCGAAATTCGACTATAATGATTGCGCCTCAAGATTATAGGAGACTATACTAAGTATATTTTCTATTTTGTTTTGGTATCGTATTTTTTCTTAAAAATGTGGAAAAAAACATGATAGTTTCCAAAAAAAAAATAGTGCCTCTCTTTCCTTTCTAAGTACCTACATAAACCCATGTAGATGTCGGGACGATAATGGCGCCGCCCATCTTGAGGTCTCATTTGGAATACAATCTTACCCTTCAAATCAGTACGCAATTACTTCGCGCCAGAAATGGATAAGATAGTAGTACCAACCTGTGAACAGGCTCATAATATTCCTGCCTCACTTGATTTGTCTTTTATATTACTTGTTTTTCTTTTCAAATAATATAATAATGATAATAACTAGTGGTCCCCCAGTAGTCGAAATTCGACTTTAATTATTTAAATTATAAATTTGAATATTATTATGGTTCTATGGTCAAAGATTATTTATTACATACTTCTATATTATAATATAATCACAGATTTCGCCAAGACTACACTATAGACAAATAATATAATTTTCAATTTGACCAGATTTTAAACAATAACAAAAGTTTGACAATAAATAAAAAGTATATGTGTGTGTTGTGTCAAATACATGGTAGTGTGCGTAATGTTTTTTTTCATTTCATAAAGAGGGGTACAAAGTTTTTGCCTCATTAATGTTATATAGATTAATATTAATATAGATCATTTAATAATTCATCATCATTCATCATTCCTTCCTATTACCCTCTGCTGGGGTGTAGGGCTCGAATCAAATTTTTCCATTTACATTACTGAAACTCGAATCATTTAATAATTGAAGGAAGGAAAATAAACAGTATGAATACAAACAAGTTACGAATAGATCTGTGAAATAAAATACCTCTATTAATAGTAAAAATGTATGTATCTTTTATTTTATTTAACATTACAATAAAATAATAATCAATATGAAACGAAATAAAAAGAAAAACAAAAATAAAAAAATTCCCGCTTTTTTAAATTCGCGCGCAAAATGGCCGCCAACATAAATTATATGTAGGTACTATAATAATAATTTAACACTTTTTTAAATCGAATTGTAACGCCATTATTAGCTTTTTTGCAGATTAAGCAGTCTAATGTCTTTTTTTTTATTGCCTAGATGTGCGGACGAGCTCACAGCCCACCTGGTGTTAAGTGGTTACTGGAGCCCATAGACATCTACAACGTAAATGTGCCACACACCTTGAGATATAAGTTCTAAGGTCTCAGTATAGTTACAACGGCTGCCCCACCCTTCAAACCGAAACGCATTACTGCTTCACGGCAGAAATAGGCAGGGTGGTGGTACCCACCCGTGCGGACTCACAAGAGGTCCTACCACCAGTAAAATGTTTAGTGTAACCATACTAATAACTAACACGGCGTTAGAAATTATTATGCGCACTGTTCACTGGTAGATATACTGTTTATGAGAGACTTTTATAGATGTAGATGAGCAAATAAGCTACTGGGCCATCGAATTATTATTGTTCAGCCCTTCCATCGGTAGACTTTCGCAACTAATATAATTTCCATTCCCGATCCTGCGGACAGAATGGAAAGCAGTCGACGTCGCCCAAAACACGTCATCTCGGATCCTCCCGATCCACTAACGGTGCTTTTAGGTACTTCAAGCACCGGTCACCGTTCTCGTCGAACCCGTCGCTTGCGACGAAGGGCTCGACGAGTAAACTAACTCTCAGACACAGCCCACTGAGTTTCTCGCCGGATCTTCTCAGTGGGTCGCGTTTCCGATCCGGTGGTAGATTCTGCGAAGCACGGCTCTTGCTAGGGTTCGTGTTAGCAACATCGTCAGGTTTGAGCCCCGTGAGCTCACCTACTAAAGTTAGGGTTACGCTGACATAGCCGCTAGGGCTATCAGCTTAGGTAGGAAAAAAAAAAATATATATAATTTCAGGGAAGAAGAAACACAGTATAACAACAGCTTATATTGTAACTGTTCCCGAATCTAATTTTTATTGTTTCCTAATACTTTAAAGTTTACATTATACTGAGAACAAATCAAGCACGATCATCAGGCCCCAAATTAGGATTCCCTATGCTGTGGGTATTAGACTGACAAGCATACCTACTTATAAATTTTTAAATATATAGATAACTAGCGGCCCGCTCCGGCTCCGCTCGGGTCTTTAACAAAAATTTCAACGATATTTGATGCTGTTTTATTTTTTTAAATAAAAGAACACTTATTGCGGCATAACTATAATAGTTAGACATACGCTGTCGCGACACTTTTTGTAAATAATAATGTGTTCCACAAAGTCGTAGTACATTATTTTATTCTAGGTAATTTTTTTACACCTTGGGTTACATTATTGGAGTTTTAGTAAGGATCCCTAATTTTTTTCTTATGTCACTTGGGAATAGTGTAGCTTCCAAACAGTAGTTTCGGAGCCTATTCAATACAAACAAACAAATCTTTCCTCTTTATAATATTAGTATAGAAGTATAGATAAGCAACCAAAGAGCAAACAAATCTGTTTATCACACGAATGTTTGCCCAATGTGAGAATCAAACCCACAACCTTCGGCGCAACAGTCAATGGCGCTAAATATTACACCACCGAGTCAATGGAAAAATACATATAAACTATCTTTTTTACTTCTGCACGTATTGTAGGACAAATAAAACGCTGAGGGCGTTTGCCACTACTCATGTTGTAAAACGGATTAACCAAATATGAACTTATTAAATTGATAAAAGGTTAGCTCAGTAAATGAGTATTTTACTACTGTTTGGATTAAGAAAACAGTGTATTTTAATCATGTATGCAACACCTATGCTTTGGTTCTTGAAATAATATTATGCTCCTTATTAAAATTATTTCTAGCCACACAGATAATCATTTATTTTGTGACACACTCGTGACTACTGTTACAAAGTATTGACTCGGAAAATGTTTAAGCATCGGTTCTGTTTCATGTCCACTGTTTCAAACTACTTCAAAGAAAGGAGGACGTTCAACTAAAAACAAAATAGAATAATAGAACAGATTTTTCTGCACTTACCATTCTACCAGTGATCATGGCGTTTCACACAGAACTAATTATCGGAAACAACTTATAAACCCCACAATAAATTAATTTGCAAGAATAAGTTTAGCTACACTATCGGGTTATACAGGTGGTAAAATATGAGGGAACAGTCTCAAATAATTTCTCAGAGCACATACGCCACAAAACACAGATAATAATGACGTCCATCCCACAAACCAGATTTCAAATACAAGATCCAAACACAATCACCAAACTGTTTACACCACCTGGCCAGGGCATAATGAAATTCTGTCAGTAAAGGTTTTACTTCTGCCAGCGTCATGTAATGGGAATACAGGTGAAGCCTTCTTAGACTTCAATTAAGAGTCAAAAAAAGGTTACCTATGAAATTAAGTAAGCCCCTATTTTGTCGTAAAAAGGTAATTATGCACAACTTTTACCACGGTTTCTTATCAAGCTTAATTTACAATTAAAACATCCAACTTTATGGCTCTGAATATTATATTTTAATATCTTTATTTATCAGTCAATAATCATAGTACATTGATCTTGTAAACTTCATAAAAACCACACTATTTAAGTTGATGATTCTTTTCTAATTTTTTCTTTAGCTCTGTTGAGAGGCTATATTGAACAGTGCAAGATTTTTAAATTATATGTTTAAAGTTGTATTTTCTTGCGGAGTTCAGGCGTCGCATCGACCGCTGTGAAATATTTTAACAATAATCACGAAATTCATTCAAATGATATATTGAATCTAGTGACCGGTTTTTTTCAGATTCCGATGAAAATCTCGCATTCTCTTGAAACAAAGTATTCACGTATTCTCAGTAAATAAGCTGGCGCTTACAGCTTATTAAATAAACTTTTACTAACAATAATGTAATAATGTGAATTATTTTTATACATTTTTTTTATTTTGATATTTTTTTATCTTGACGATATGATGTTACTCGCAAAGGCTTTTGATTAACAAACTATCCTATTGTATGAATATACATCGTTTTTTTATTTACAAACTTCATTTTCATATTTTTCATTATTATCTCAAACCAAGTGGAAGACTAAACTTAGTCATTACAGTTTAGAGTATGTAATTTTCTTTTATGAAATACCAACATATATAGATAAATGAAAGCGATTTAGTTGCATGCTTTTAACAACTTGTAACAAGCTAACGGTGCTTTTGAAAATGATCAAAATTCAACATAAAATGGTTTGAACACCAGCTTTAACAACAATTAAACCATACTAGTACTGTTGGTATAGCCATCGTCGGCTAGTAGATGTTATAAAATTTAGTTTTCCACCTCTCAAAATCATTCATTAGAATATTCACACATACCACTAACTAGGCCTCGCCGCCACGTTAAGGGCAAAACGTGGTCACCTGTCTGCTTTACCGCTCTGCAGATGTTTGGGGGCATCGGCAAAAGCAAACTTAAGCCTATACGCCTCTGCAACTAGTACACTTATATTTGAATCAGTCCAATTTTGTGTTGGTACGTTCTGTAACAATATCATTAGACCTTGGAAATCTCTTTCCAGCATCAATCTCTCTCTCCAGTGAAGCAGGAAAGCGGCACAGACGTAGAGTTGAAATGTAGCGAACTCGTCGGATTCTGCAAGATAAGTGTCCCATAATCGAATGGTACAGGCTAAGGGTATTTCTCTCGTGAGGAGATTGTTCATCCAGCGGAATGAGAACTGGAGGTAGTCCACACCGTGCTGCTGCAGATGCTCGTGGAGTGGCAGATCGATGCGTCTTATCAGCTCCTTCAATTGATTTACCTGGAATTTAGATTGAATAATAAGATGAGAAATACGCAACAATGCAGCACATACTTTATTAGATTTACGTAGCACAGCTATAATAGTAGCGCTTATTGTGAATCAGGTAATACCATCCAGCCTATTTCTGCCGCGAAGTTTATTCGCAGCGGTTTGAAGATATCTGTTATTACAAATCAAATCAATTTTTTTTTAATTCAACACAAATGAAAGTACATACTTGTTGAACGTCAAAAAGAACTACCGCCAATTCACAAAAACGAGCCTCCGTCCTGTCTCAAGAACTGGCAAGAAACTCAGCGGGCATGTCTTTTTTTTAAATATTTTTCTTTTTTTTTTCAATATTAGATTTTTTTAAACATTAATTTTTACAAGGAGTATTATAACGCAACAATTATTGCAATATTGAAATAATGCCCGGAGCGAGCAACTACAATAGAGTATGCCTTACGTGTCGCAAGTAGGGTTCCAGAATCCCGGTATAATCTCGCGCATTCGATTGATATTATACCCAACGATAAGTACATAATACTTTACATCTAGGTTACAGTTACGGTCAAAGAAAACCTAAGATCAATTTAAGGTTAAAGTTTTTTTTTTTTAATTTAACGATATTTTAGGTTTGTAAGATTGATTGAAGATACCGAAAAGATTATTTATGTATCACGATAAAACACAATCAGGGATATTTCATTATCTTTAGAATCACCAATCATTATAATTGTTGATAATGAACTGTAGACTCACTTTCCACTGGTCAGCTAACAAGGACTTTATTATATATGCCGTGGCCTCAGCTATTAACAATATACATTTAACACATAAGTATGAAATTTTCGTAATTAGTGACAGATCCAATTCAGTGACATGTCCATCTTTAAACGAGGCTTGTGGAGAGTATTAAGCGGTAGGCAGCGGCTTGGCTCTGCCCCTGGCATTGCTGAAGTCCATGGGCGACGGTAACCACTTACCATCAGGTGGGCCGTATGCTCGTCTGCCTACAAGGGCAATAAAAAAAAAGGAAAAAAAAACAAAATGTGTGCAATTCACACGTGGTAGAAGTGAAACCCTCCAAAATTAAAATACAATTATCCTAAACGTCTTAAGTATAAGTAAAATTTTGTCATTAGTAAATAATTGTAAGGTAGCGCCCTCTGTGAATTGATATTTTAATTTCACGTATAATCCTAAATTAAAATTCACTACAAGAGCTTTCATACACACGTTAGTATTAAAAAATCTCACAGATGGCGTATTAAAGCTGTATTAAATAGTATGTATATTTCTGTCTCATTCTTTGCTGGCTTCATCCTGCACATTTTTGTATTTGTGTCTCTTACCTGTCGTTTTTTCCGTTGCATCCGGTTTGAAATCACAACGATTCTAAAGAAGTTTTCACTTCAAAAAAGAAGATAAATAACTACACTGTTACGACGGCACCGAGATGTAACGAGAGTCATCTATTGGCAAATAGCGACACTAACAAACACGAACAATAGAGCCATAATGCAGAAACTAAGCTTGCTGATTCATAGTCTTTTTTTTTTATTGTTTAGACGGGTGGACGAGCTCACAGCCCACCTGGTGTTAAGTGGTTACTGGAGCCCATAGACATTGACAACGTAAATGCGCCACCCACCTTGAGATATAAGTTCTAAGCTCTTAATATAGTTACAACGGCTGCCCCGCCCTTCAAACCGAAACGCATTACTGCTTCACGGCAGAAATTGGCGGGGTGGTGGTACCTACCCGTGCGGACTCACAAGAGGTCCTAGCACCAGTAAAGTCCTTAGTAGAGAACTACAAAGGTTGCAGATACGCCTAAAACGGGTGATATTCCACAGTTTGATGAAAATTTATTAGGATGACCATATTAATTGCTTTTTTTTCCTACCTAAGCTGATAGCCTTGAGAGGCTATATCAGCGGAACCTTTACTAGTAGGTGAGCTCACGGGGCTCAAACCTGACGACGTTGCTAACACGAACCCTAGCAAGAGCCGCGCTTCGCAGAATCTACCACCGGATCGGAAACGCGACCCACTGAGAAGATCCGGCGAGAAACTCAGTGTGCTGTGTCTGAGGGTTAATTTACTCGTCGAGCCCTTCGTCGCAAGCGACGGGTTCGACGAGAACGGTGACCGGTGCTTGAAGTACCTAAAAGCACCGTTAGTGGATCGGGAGGATCCGAGATGACGTGTTTGGGGCGACGTCAACTACTTTCCATTCTGTCCGCAGGATCGGGAATGTAGTTACCGGCGGCCACGATGAGAGGGTTCTCGTGTCGTGCCGCTTTATAAGCACATCCAATAACTACTATCGCCATCTAGCAGGGAACAGAGTTGAACACAACTATTGAAGCCTCACTACAAATTTCAAAAAAAGCAACACTGATCTTGATATATTTGAGAATAATTTTTATAAATATTGTAAATTAGTTAAGCATATTCTCAAATAATTAATATTGTCCAGTTAATAATACATTAGATCTAATTTAATCAGATAGTAACTTACATATGTGCGTGCGTGCGTGCGTGCGTGCGTGTGTGTGTGTGTGCGCGTGTGTGTTTGTGTGTGTATGTATACATGGTATTCAGGCATCTGTTCAGTTGTAATATTTTTCTGTATGCACCTGTTTTGAATTACAATCCAGATTGTTATGTTAAACATTTAAACTTATAATTTCTTTGGTTGTAATTTGTTTTGTGCATCAATAAATTAAACAAAATATATGTATATATATATATATTGTATAACGCGTATAAGGCAACGCGGACGTTATCATTAACAACGACAACACCGCAGTAGAGCTAAAACGCGTGAAGCGAAACAAATGGTACGATAAAAAGTGAAGATTATTGCTCATTACATCGCAAAGTATTGACGAATTGAATGTTAGTGCGTACTAAACAGTAGTACAAATACGGAATGACATTGTGTCTTTGATTATATTATGCCCATCTTAACCTGAACACGAAATAATTTAATAACACGCCAGACTTATCAAAGTAGATATCATATTTTCTAAGTTATTTAATGTTTATCTGAGCATTACCGGTGGTAGGACCTCTTGTGAGTCCGCGCGGGTAGGTACGGTTCGGTTTGAAGGGTGGGGCAGCCGTTGTAACTATACTGAGACCTTAGAACTGATATCTCAAGGTGAGTGGCGTATTTACGTCGTAGATGTCTATGAGCTCTAGTAACCACCTAACACCAGGTGGGCTGTGAGCTCGTGCACACATCTAAGCAATAAAAAAAATGTAAGCTTTGAATGTAAATTGTGTTGGTGTGCAATAAAGTGTATTCTCTCTCTCTCTCTCTCTCTCTCTCTAAGCTCAATTGACCTCATATCATCACACACATCAAGTCTTTTTAACCGGCTACCAATTAAGCACACATAAAATCAGAACGCAGATAGAAAAGTTTACATGATAATGATGGACGAGTTCCAATTGTTCATAACGATAACATATAATTAGTCCATTGATTAATTATATATATGAAAAAAAAAAATACTATATTTTCATCTCCCACCTTGTATTGTATTCCCAGCTGCGCAAAAATATAGTTATCCTGAACGCTGTCTAAGAATTTGGAGAGACACCAAAACGAGTCTGCCTCAATGATGTCCCTCTTCTCTTCAGTCAACTTGTCCAGAGGATAGTTATCCAGCTCCTCGCCAGGAACAGCCTCCTGGAGGAACACCATGAAGAACGGCGTCACGAGGTCATTGATGCCTTGGACGTAGCCGGAAGCTGGGTGTCTTATTGCCCAAATATACAAGATCCTCTCGAACATAACCTAGAATTGAATGGTGCCCTATTTAATACCCTTATTATTATTAATAAAATATATTAAATTGTAAAACTCCTATTGCTGGTGGGACGTCATATGAGCCCGCACGGGGTACCACCACCCTGCCTATTTCTGTGATGAAGCAATAATGCGTTTCGCTTTGAAGGGTGGGGCATACTGTAAAAACCGAGAACTTAAAACAAACTAGAATTAACTTAGAACTCTTGTCGCAAGATGGGCGGTGGCATTGACGTGGTTGATGTCTGTGGGCTCCGATGACCATTTAAGACCAGGTGGGCCCTGAACACGTCCACCTATTTCAGCAAAAAAGAAAAGATAAAAGGGCAGTAATCGATTCTTATTTATCTGCCCAATTTAGTACAATTCAATTCTGTAATCAGTGTTCATTAGTTATCGATGACAGATCAATATCTGGAAATTCTGTATTGTAATTTCTCCACTGACGTTTTGTTTGACTGCCATGACTCTTTCAAACGTGGCGAGCATAGGTATTCTAAAATACATAATGTTATTGCTAACTAAGAAGTCATTAAAAAATCTAATGTAAAATCAATTTAGTTGCTTACCTGAACAGTGTTCTGTTGGAACAGCGCTACGAGTGGGCTCATTCTTGGTATATCAATATGTATCTGTCGGTAAGTATCATCGTCTCTTTCTGCATCATAATATTGTCTTACTAGATGTTTGTAATCGGCACGTTTTCGTTGCAGTGTGTCTGCGCGACGTTCAGAATTAGCTGGTAAGTAGCCGGCCAGAAGCCTCCATGTTACAGCTCTAGTCTAGAAATATAGGTTATCAAGGACTTTATAAAGGACTCGATATGAGGGGCCTATTTTGTCAAGAGTGGTCAATGAAAAAGCTTTGTGTTCATAAAACATGTAGTTAATAATGAACCATCAAAAGTATCACAAGCTTTAACAAATTTGTTTTATAAACAAGCACAAAGGAACAAATATTTAGTAAATAATAGGTCCATACTTAAAAGGTTGCCTTTTTACTATGATTTGAAACGTAGCAATAAATTCTAAATGCAAATGTATGTATTTTATTTTAAAAACCGTCATTTGTTTATTGGTCACTGTTTCGTTTTCAACATGATTGTATCTTTTTCATCGACATGAACACGATAAAAATACGAGTAATTATGGAATACACAAATACAGATTCCGTCGCACTAGCGTTGCTAACACAAACGGCCACAAAACATTGCTGGTGGTAGGACCTCTTCTGCTGAGTCCGCACGGGTAGGTACCACCTCCCTGCCTATTTCTGACGTGAAGCAGTAATGCGTTTCAGTTTGGAGGGTGGGGCAGCCATTGTAACTGTACTGAGACCTTAGAACTTATATCTCAAGGTGAGTGGTGCTTTTAAGTTGTAGATGTCTATGGGCTCCAGTAACCACTTAACACCAGGTGGACTATGAGCTACCCATCTAGGCAATAAAAAAAAAACCGGCTCATACCATTAATGGCGTGTACGGATTGAACATTACAAACGAACGCACGATTCGTTTGGGTTGAACGTTTCCAACATAGAAGTTTTGAGCCTTATAAAATGAAACCCATGGTCGCCCAAAGTCAACAATGACAGTTTATAGACAATATCCGGAAGCTGACGATACTCAATCTACCGCTGAGTTAGCAGCAACTTTCAATATGAGCATCAACATAATATCAGTTGGCATCAAAATGGTTGGGTAAAACAATGATAAGTAGGTGCTGCAAGAACTGAACGATCGCCAGTGACCTAGTGCCACTATACTCATCACAGCTTCTGGAATGTAGTACTGGAATGACAGAGAAGCTTCCGAATATCCCATCAGCCTTAGTTAATCATTGAAGAGTTTACTGGCTTCTGGCCACCTGATTTCTTCAAGAAGGACATTGAAATTACAGTGCTGACAGAGATGGACTGATACCATGAGTACATAATTGGTTAATAGAAAAAAAAAAACCTTAACTTTTTGTATACTAAAAAACAATTTCATAGATAAATACCCAATTTAAAACCAACAGGATTCTAAAAAACTTCTGTTTTGTAAACAAGGTTTGTTGCAATTCTCAACCTTGAATCTCTCACCATCCACATGGCAGTTATCAGAGCTAAGAATAGTCACAATGTCTCTGCTACAAAGAGTTATAGGATCGCAGTAGTTAGGAAAGTACGTCTTGAAAGAATCTTGCTAACAATCAAGATAAAGTTGTATAAGTTCTCATCAACAACAGCTAGACTCAGTCTGGCAAACTTGGAAAAGCCTTCTATCTTAAAAAAAAAGATTGGAACTCTTGATTTTTTTAGTAGCACTAGGTGTTCTGTGGTATATTCTGTGGCATAGCAGAAGATCGTTTGATTACCCATATTACCTGGTAATAGCTTGAAGACTAGTATTAAAGTTAGACCCTCTAACCTTAAAGCTTCTTATCTTATCATTATTAAGCTTAATGGACACATTAGCTCTTAGTACAGTTGGTAAATGGAAAGTAATCTAACTAATTATTCTAATTACTCCTATATACAGACATCACTCTTCCCTTTAAACAACACCTTATTTAGCATTATTCTAGGTTTTTGGACCATACTACCTATATTTTACTCTACAGTCTTGTGTCCTGGATTTAAGGATGGAACAGTTAGGTGAGTTATTGTGATGTTGGCTTTCAGAACCACCAGTTTAATATGAGTGAACCGGTGTCAAGTTGAATGACAATATTTTTAATGACAATAACATAATGCTTAGAATCTCACTCTACAAAAGATCAGTGCTCAAGAAAACCTTGTATTTACACTATATTAGCCATGTTATTTAGAAATTAGTCATAAGATGCAAACAAAGAGAAACCTATGTTTTTCCTTATGCTGTTTATTTATTCACTCACCATTTTGTTCATGGTGCATCAAAATTAGTAACAGAAATTGTTTTCAAATTGAGCTATTTAATAAGTTGATTGTGTTTGAAGGCTATGTATTGTATTTATAATGAATTAACAGAACATCAAAAAAAATTCTGTTTGGAATTTTGAAAATAGGATCTGTGAGTCATATCTACAATTTACCCAACTTCGTATTGATGGCATAAACCTTAAATTTGAGGTGAATTTGTCAAGTGATATTCTAGATATGTTAGTAAACTAGTGAAATTTTTGTTATATGCTATGATTTAATTACAATAAAATCAAAATTATGTAACATACTTTAACTGGTATCCCAGACCAGCTGATCTGTTTGAGTTCGTCGAGGTTGACGACTGTGCTATCGTGTATCTGCTGGAAGCGCTCCAATTTAGACTCACTGCTCTCCTCGCGTGAAGCGAGCGCTGATAGCCGCACTGGGCGAGGCCGACCCGGATACTGCCTTATACCCGACCCACCACCGACCTTCCGACCCTCATTCTTCTTAACTTCCACCACCTCTTTACTCTTAACTTCACTCTCAACCTTCACGTCACTTCTGTTTACGTTTTTAGTGCTGTTTCTGTGGGAATTTATGACGTTCAAGGCTGCTGTTTCCGATATACTTTTCGATATTTTAGTGTCCGCTATCCCCGAGATGATCTCGTCGTCGCCGAGATCCCAAGCGTCGTTGACTGACGCCTGGAATTGCTGATACGACGACCCGGACATAACCTCGTTTGAGATGACCCTTTGGTAAGGCCTCCCCGGTACAGCGCGCTGAGGTGTCCTCCAGAACGTGTCAGACAACAAACCCTTGTCATGTTCGGGTTCGTGATTTTCCATAATAACGTACAATTTGAAACATTCTTAACTATGTTTTACGTACAATAACAAAACCACATAAAAAGTTTTTTTGTTGATATGACTCGCCTTGTCTTGACACAATATTATCAACAGCAGTCAGCGAGTGACAAAATCCACAGAGTACCTACCTCCTTTAATTTGTGTTCGTTTGATCTATGATTCATAGACATTTGATTAATACAATTTCTCACTGGTTTTTTGTTTCAACAAGATACAAGATGATATTTAATTTATTTTGATCACGCATTGGCACGCATAAAGTGAAAGAATCACTAGAACACTTCTGCAGTGATCCATACTTGGAAAAGTACTTTTTGGTTCTTATTCATAACTTCTGGGTCAGGTTTCCAAAGGTTTTAAGGAATGAAGTCTATAATTTTCCATAGCACTTTTATTGGTGTCAATCAATAGTGTCAATTGTTGTCTTCAAAAATTGAAATTTCTACCGTGTCTTACTAATTTTAACATAATATTGGAATTTGTTCACCTAATCCACAAAATTTTACATTTGGCATTAAATCGTCATCAAATCAATAAAGATTGATGAACGGATACGAAGCTTGTTCAGTAAGTCTTGGTATCCAAGGCTTGTTTAATCAATCTGTTTTTCGCAGTTTCTATCCCACCTACGATAATTGTTAATTAACATCAAGATGGCAAGTCCTAATCCTGAAATCGATTTATCTTCAATGTTCATAAGCAAAGTCAATAATTCAAAAAGTCCTACTCGTTCCGAACCCACTTCAAGACGCAATTCTACCGTGAAATCAAATTTACCAGCGGAAATTATAACCGTTAAAGATTTTTTTGATTTCATGAAAACTGCTTATCAAGTTTACGAGTATTTAGAAGGGGACGAAGATGACGGCTCGAAAATAGATTGGGAGGAATTAACTAAATTAACTGTATTAAATCATGTAATAGAGCAACAAGAAAGAGATCTATTGCTCCAGACAGCTTTTTCGGAACAAAAACCAATTACAAGTAAAAGTGAAACGGCTCTTGAGAGAAAAAAAAGCGAATTTGAACGGTTAGAGAAGAGATTTAGCTGTAGTGAAATTGAAGGTACGTATGAAAATAAAATTACAAAACTTGGATCTTATTTGACCAAAGGTCTAAAATGCCTTCTTTAATAGGCAAATCTAGACGGCGATCAATACCTCAGGAAGCAAGAGTAGAGATGCTTGGTGTCTGGACTGAAGCAAACTTGAATTGTAAATTAAATGACGTGAGTTTAATTCATACTTTGTTTTAGTTCACACAAAATTATAAAAGCTGACACAAATTGAATTTTGTAGGTAATAAACGAAGGAATTTTGGATTCTATACTTCCATATTTAGTTGGTTATAAAAAGCCTTCAAAGACGACCAGTGTTTATGTGCCGGTTATTAAAAAAACACAGTCTAATCCTACTACGGATGTGAAAAAACCAGCCAGTTTTGGAGGTAAATTAAAAAAAATATATATATTACGTTTTTTTTAGTAACATAATGACTTACACTACAATTTAATTTCTCAGGGTTTATAAATGAAAAAGACTCAAGAGATCGTCTCGGAAGACGTAAATCATCTGTAATTGCAGCTCAAGACCGCGCGAATCATAAACAAGAGTATGTTTGTCGCTAGATGTCACTGTTTTACATTTTTACGCATTGATAAGATATACGTTTTGCTTTATGATCTGTATTTATAACATAACTGAATTAAATAGAGATATGAATTTCAAATTAATTTGGTATTGTACATTTGAGATAATATATTATGAAAATTAAAAAAAAAATATTGTCGGAATTAATTTGTAATAGTTTTATAATTTTAAACTACATCCTATAATCCGATATGGTCTAGTGGCTAGGATACCTGGCTCTCACCCAGGAGGCTCGGGTTCGATTCCCGGTATCGGAATGCTTCGTTTTTTAAATTTTTTAGTGGCGATGTTGAAATCCACGTCTGCGATGAAGTCAAAGGCCTCAAGAAAGATTTTCGATGCCCACAAAAATTATTGGTTTCCAAAATGGGTTACTTTGCTGACGTGACCGCGGGTCAGAGACTTGAAGATATGGATATATCTGTTCACTGCGATATACAAGTTAGTATAATTGGCAGCACAAGGTAGGATATACACAATGGAACATTCATCCTTATCCTCAATCGGTTAAGAATTAAGACTTGGTATTTTAGTTCGATCTAGTTGGCAGTTTTGGCGATAGGATTTTGTATTAATTCTTCATTGTACGAGAACATACCATTCAAGAAGCCATTTTTTTAAACAATTTTTTTTCCTATTGCTAGATGGGTGGACGAGCTCACAGCCCACCTGGCATTAAGTGGTTACTGGAGCCCATAGACATTTACGACGTAAATGCGCCACCCACCTTGAGATATAAGTTCTAAGGTCTCAGGTATAGTTACAACGGCTGCCCCATCCTTCAAACCGAAACGCATTACTGCTTCACGGCAGAAATAGGCGGGGTGGCGGTACCTACCCGTGCGGACTCACAAGAGGTCCTACCACCAGTAATTACGCAAATTATAATTTTGCGGGTTTCATTTTTATTACACGATGTTATTCCTTCACCGTGGAAGGCAATCATGAACATTTGTTGAGTACGTATTCATTATAAAAATTGGTACCCGCCTGAGATTCGAACACCGGTGCATCGCTCAACACGAATGCATCGGACGTCTTATCTGTTAGGCCACGACGACTTCAGAAGAAGAAATTGTACAATTTATGTACAATAAGTAATTTTTGATATTTTATTGTTTCAGATCTTCGATTGGTTGATGCGTTGGATGAAGAAGGATTCTATTTTAGTTGCGGATTGGCCCTTGTTGGATCCCCACAATGTGGTCCCTATACTGGTCTCGGCGTCTTTCTTACAGGTCCGTTGAAAGAGTTACTGGTGGTAGGACGCGTTGTGAGTCCGCACGGTAGATACTACCGCCCTGCCTATTTCTGTTGTGAAGCAGTAATGCGTTTCGGTTTGAAAGGTGGGAGTAGCCGTTGTACTGTAAAAACAGAGACTTAGAACTCATATCCCAAGGTAGGTAGCAGCATTTACGTGTTGATGGGAGCTCACGGTCTCTTGGCCTCCGATAGTAGATTCATTCGAGAAGCAGTTGCTCTTGAATTGTCAGGTCTCCTTCGGAGGCGCTCGGGTAGCTGTTAACTATCCCTCCTGGCTGAGCCGATGCTCGCCCACTGTCCTGGTGAAACTGGGAAGGCCTCTAGTAATCCTTCAATCATAAACAAAAAAGTATCTTGATGTCGATTGTTATATTTTTTGTTACATAGCACAATCCATCCCGAGCGCTATGACATGTCCTTCTTCAAACGAGGCTTGTGGAGAGTATTAAGCGGCAGGCAGCGGCTTGGCTCTGCCCCTGGCATTGCTGAAGTCCATGGGCGACGGTAACCACTCACCATCAGGTGGGCCGTATGCTCGTCTGCGTAAAAGGGCAATAAAAAAAAATTGTATAGTTATATTCACCGTTTTATTTATAGAGCTCGCTCGTTTGATTTTAAATGGCCTTGCAATGTGAGGTTTCATTTTCCCCTATGAGGCTGCGTTGACAAGCGAATGTCACATTCGAGGTTCGGAAAATCTAAGAACTATTATTGAAGAGCCTCTCCATCCCCAATATGTGATTGTTTGGTGGTGTTTTTCGTCCGGCGGGGTCATTGGACCATTTTATATGGTCGGAATATAAAGATATTGATGTGGAGTAGGTACATTTCTTTTCAACAAGACGGCGCGATGTGCCGCACTAGTGAACACGTCACATAGGATCCTCCTGATCCACTATCGGTGCTTTTAAGTACCTCAAGCACCGGTTATAGTTCTCGTCGAACCCGCCGCTTGCGACGAAGGGTTCGTCGAGTAAATTAACCCACAGACACAGCCCAGTAAGCTTCTCGCCAGATCTTCTCTGTGGATCGCGTTTCTGATCCGGTGGTAGATTCTGCGAAGCACTGCTCTTGCTAGGGCCAGTGTTAGCAACGTCCTCAGGTTAGAGCCTGTGAGCTCACCTACTCGTTTAGCGACGCTGGCATAGCCCACTATGGCTAGCTTAGGCAGGAATAAATAAAAAATAGTGATGGTACTATTGCTGTTTTGCGTGAAAAGCTTCCTTCCTCGAAGAGTCTATCATATAAGACAATTATGTAAGACATTTAAAGTCCTTTTTTTAATTTATCCGTTCCTAGATGGAGCCATTGTTGCACGATTGTTTGATCTACTGTCATGCCCACATGAATGACATTGTCAAGACCACCACGAATCTGGCGTGTTTGAGCGACGCTTTACTGACAAGGCAAGTATTTGTTTTATCTTATTACATAAAAAGTAGGGTACAATCAAATCGTTCTCGAAGTCAAAATGTTAATGTATTGCTAACATAACGTTAATGTAACAACACAATGTCGAGTTTAACTAAGCCAACTAAGAAAAACCTTTTCATTATTTTACGAAATTTCCGTCGACTTGAAAAGATGTCTGATAAACATGAAAATTTGTATACACGCGTCAAGGATCGATGACAAATACATTCACTTCATAAGTTCGCTCTAATATCCCGACCAATTTCAATGGGATAAAAAAAAAGATTAAATTAATTGCTCGTTTACTATTGAGGCATGTGTTTTTTAGTTTTTAAACAACCATGCCGTCAGCGCAAAAGTGGCCTAAGCTTACCACAGTTAGTAGGTATGGAGATAATGAGGTTTCATTTTAATTTTACACTGCTTTGTAGGCAAAAACAATACGCGCGAAAATAATGTTTACAAAGTCATCTGTTATCTATGGGTGAAACTAGGGATAGGCTTTGCATCAAAATTTATTATGTTTTAAACAAATTACACGAATAGCTATATAAGCACGCTTGAATAAATTGCAATATAAGCACGAATATGAAAAATTGTGGGTAAGGCTATTTTTGCGCTGACGGCCTCATATGTAATATTATGTTTATTGATTTTTGGTAATTGTGGGGTACTCTGACGATACAAACGCTGATATGTGAATGTTTATCTTAAAGACTAGCTGACCCGGCAAACTTCGTAATGCCTCAATCGATAAATAGAAGACCTAAAGTTTTGTATAAAATAAACTTAAAACAAACATAAGGAATCCGTCCGACGGGGGACGCATCAAAGAGAAAACAAAATTGTTATTTTTATTTAATTCCGAGCATTTTCATATTTATCTACCTTTCAAACCTTCTCTGGACTTCCACAAATAATTCAAGACCAAAATTAGCCAAATCGGTCCAGCCGTTTTAGCGAGACTAACGAACAGCAATTATTTTTTATATATATAGATTAGCGGCAATGTATACAAATGCGGAATTGGAAGCGATCAAGGATCGCAAAGACAAGATCCAGTCGAGGCTGTACTGCAAGATGATAATGTCGTTAGCAGAACCGGTACCGGAAACGCTACGAGGGCATTATTCCACTCTGGCAACACTGTTTAAGTGCACCAAGTAAGTGGTTTTTTTTTTGGTTGTTTTTGACACAAGCTCAGTTGGTATTGATCGGTCATCAGAGGTAATGGGAAGACGCTACTCAGCTTGTACAGTTACTACCCAAACATATTACATACCCATATATACTGGTGGTAGGACCTCTTGTGAGTCCGCGCAGGTAGGTACCACCGCCCTGTCTATTTCTGCCGTGAAGCAGTAATGCGTTTCGGTTTGAAGGGCGGGGCAGCCGTTGTAACTATACTGAGATCTTAGCACTTATATCTCAAGGTGGGTGGCGCATGTAGGTACGTTGTAGATGTCTATGGGCTCCAGTAACCACTTAACACCAGGTGGGCTGTGAGCTCTTCCAACCATATCTAAGCAACAAAAAAAATAAAAAATTAGGTGACAAATGCGGTCCTTAGTTAAAAGCGCGTTCTTTTTTTTATTACTATAGGAATGGGTATATTAATTGTCTTTTGTCCGTTCCGATCTATCAGTGTGCTTAGTGCGAGTATTTTAACGTTCTCGATCGCGTAAAAGTTAACTAAAATTTGAATGGAGTTGGAACGTTTACCTACATTTGCCGCTAGGGGCGCTGTTCCAACTGCATACAAATTTGAGTTAACTTTTACGCGATCGAGAACGTTAGAAACTTGCACTAAACATACAGGTCTCATACGCACTGTAAATAAGTCCAACCTTGCTTCTAAAAGATCTGAGTGCTTAGTGCGAGTTTTGTTAACGTTCTCGACAGCGTAAAAGTTAGCTCATATTTGTATGGAGTGGGATCGTTCGCCTACGTTTGCCGCTAAGGGCGCTGTTCCAACTGCCTGCAAAATTGAGTTAACTTTTACGCTATCTAGAAAGTTCAAAAACTCGCACTAAGCTCTCTGATACGCACTGGCTTCAAGTCCCTTAAAAATGGACCCGCAGTCGACGATTTTATTGCATGCTGTGACTGGTTATCTAGTTTTGGGTTTGAATGCAGGTGCAACAAGTTGCTGGGACGGCACATAGCCGAGCTGGTACCGTGCCAGCCGGCGAGTATGCGCATCGACAGGAGAGGGAACGTTGTAGCCGCCCATACCAAGTGAGCTTTTTATTTTGGTTGAACTATGATCAGCTAAGTCATTTTCTGATCTATGGATTGGACCGCTTTTGTAGGTCTAAGCGAAAGTAAAAAAAATATATATTTGCAATTACTGGTGGGATGCCTTATTGTGAGTCCGCGCTCCATAGGTACGATTTGATCACGATTTACTTCCACGGTGAAGGAATAACATCGTGTAATAAAAATCAAACCCGCAAATTATAATTTGCGGAATTACTGGTGGTAGGACTGGTCGACCACTCATCAAGTATACATTAAAAAAGTCCATGTGGCATTGAGCGGTAGTCGAAGCTGAATAAAACCCCCCTTCAACAAGAAAAAACATTAAGCGCTAAACAAAAACATACCTTAATAAGATAATACAAAGAGTTTCCAAAAGCTCGACACAACTTAGTCTCAGTTTAATTGGTACACCAGCTCTTCCTATAACGGGTAGGTACCACGGGTAATACCACCACCTTGCCTATTTCTGCCGTGAAGCAGTAATGCGTTTTGGTTTTAAGGGTGCGGGGGGGCAGCTGTTGTGCTGTTAAAACTGAGACCTTAGAACGCATATCTCAAGGTAAGTGACGGCATTTACATAGTAGATGTCCATGGGCTCCGGTAACCACTTAATATCAGGTGGGCCGTGAGCTCGTTCACCCACATAAGCAATAAAAATAAGAACCACCTGAAACTGTTTATTGATTTACGACAAAAATAAGCAGGATTGTGGTACTGCGGTACTCGAGCGAAATTGCAATAGACCGTACCACAAGTAAAGATGTCAGTAATTCTACGCTACGTATCGGTCTTCTTCCATGTCCTTGATTTGAAGAGACGCAAATTGGAGCCTGAACGAGTACATATCCTGGCTGTACGGCGAGCTGAGGTCCTGGAGACGAGTGTACTGGCGGCTGTGGGCCGACTGTCATTTCCTACTGTGTCAACTTTGTGACAACTATTTCCCCGCCTACCAGGTCAGTTAAGCTGTCAGTCGAGCAGATCTGATTAGAGATCAGTATTAGTAGTTTTTTTCCTACCTATGCTGATAGCCTTGAGAGGCTGTATCAGCTTCGCCCTAACGTGTAGGTGAGCTCACGGGGCTCAAACCGAAGTGTTGCTGACACTGGCCCTAGCAAGAGCAGTGCTTCGCAAAATCTACCACCGGATCGAAAACGCGACCCACTGAGAAGATCCGACGAGAAACTCAGTGGGCTGTGTCTGAGAGTTAATTTACTCGTCGAGCCCTTCGTCGCAAGCGACGGGTTCGACGAGGGCGGTGACCGGTGCTTGAGGTACCTAAAAGCACCGTTAATGGATCGGGAGGATCCGTAAAGACGTGTAAATATTAGTAGTAGTAATTCGTTATCCTATCAAATAATGTAACTCATGTAGCGGGCTTGGTTTAGTAGTTTAGTTACTGGTGGTAGGACCTCTTGTGAGTGGACACGGGTAGGTACTACTACCCTGCCTATTTCAGCCGTGAAACAGTAATGCGTTTCGGCTTGAAGGCAGCCGTTGTGACTTCGAACTCATATCTCAAGGTGGGTGGCGGCATTTACGTTGTAGATGTCTATGTGCTCCTTTAACCGCTGAATAGGTATGCAGTTAAAAAAAAATTATGGCTAGCCACGAGTGTTTAAAATAATTCTTAATTTGTCCGATAATAATTGATAAATTAGACCATTCCAGGAGTCGTTTTATGCTGTTTCCCGGCTGTACAGATGGAGTGGTGCTCCCACCACGAACAGCCTCCCCACATGTTCTCGTTGGAAGGCCGCCCTCCCCTCCCCGCCGGCCGCTACCCCTGCTGCGGGGAGAGGGCCTACCGCTTCGAGACCATTACCAGGAACACGGTGAGCTTAGAGCTTAGAGCTTAGAGTTCGAGAGGTGTACTCTTCTGGGTTTCTGGCATCCATGATGGCAAAGTAGACGTTTAGCTACACAGCATTAGACAGCATCCCTAGTCCGGGGTTGAGCTTGTGACGTCTTTTAGTAGTGACGAATTGAAACTTTTAAAGTGATTAACTGTTCAATTTCTGCCGCATAAACCTTATGAAATATCCCTGGCTTTGCTGACGTCCGCGAGAGACGATAACCAATCACCACCAAATGGGCCAAATGCTCGTTCTACAAGGCAATAAAAATCTTGACTGTTTTTTCTCGTTTTTAACCACATGCGCGTCAAAACGTCTGCAATTAAAATATCCAGTCATCCTCTTTTTAAAGGGATTTTATGAGCTGGTAACTAAGACCTTTAGGGCATGTCTTATTTGAATTTATATTCTTATTTTTTTATGAAATTTGTGACATTAATCAACTGGGATGAAATAAATGAAATGATATGATATGGGATGAAATATAATCTCAGTAAAATGGTGGTCATTTATTGAGATTTTTTCAGTGGACTTTTTGCAAGATCCCAAGAAATTACATTCAGTGGCTTTGTTTCATTTTCCCCTATTTGTGCACTTTCACAGATATTAAACAGTTAATAAACCACCGTTATTACACAATTAAACCCGAAGAAACACTAAATAGACAAAATAATAAAACAAATCACACAACTTCAATCTTCACGTTCCCGCCAAAAAGTCAAAGTCATCGTCTTTGTGTAAAACCAGGGTTGCCAGTTCCGGGAGCATGTCCCAGATGAGCGCATGGCTTCGGATGCGGCCGTGATGGAGCTTTACAACCAATTTAGGGACATAATAGCTATGAAACCGCCTCAGCTAATGTTCCCAGAGCGACTGACAAGACTCGTTGGAAGAGGTCAGTAGAAATGAGAGAATATTTTGTAAGATTTACATTAAAAAAAACATTTTTACTTCCTACTTATTCGCTGGTAGTCTAAGAGGCTATTTCAGCTACGCGCAGACGGGTAGTTAAGCTCACGGGCTCAACCTTAGAAAATTTGCTAACACTAGCCTTAGCAAGAGCAGTGGTTCGCAGAATCTACCACCGGATCGGAATAGCGACCCACTGAAAAGATCCAGCGAGAAACTCAGTGGGCTGTGATTGTGGGCTAGCCCTAGATAACTAATTAGCTGCGGCCACGCTAAGAGGGTTTTCGTGTCGCCCCGCTTTGTCCAGTAGCGTTCTGACGCTTCCTTAAGATACTTACGTATCGCTATTATACGGCTATCCTGCAGATTCATAAATTATATCTTATTTCGATTATGTTATTTAATTTTTATTCTGATTAATTTAAATATACTGCAGAAATATTTTTCAGTGCTGAATAAATAATGTTGTATCTATGTTAGACTATTTTTTTGACTTAAGAGTCCGGAGATGATAACTCTGGTCGTCTTCAATGCAAGGAAGTATTTTGGTGGGAGGGAATACAGCTGGTAACACCGCGCCCTCCTCTCGGCTTACTCGGAAAACTCTACACTAGCAACACCAAGTTCAACGGTCTGTTAAGTTTTCATATTAAAAATTTATTGAAATATCTAGAAATTATACTTTTGACCATAACTAAAAGATATTTATTTTATTTTAAAAGATTAAAAAGTCGCTCTCGACAAGTTTGAATATTTTTCAAAGAAAAACATATATATGGAGAATTACGTAAAAGTATAGTTTATAGATATATCGTATCCGATAGGGCATTAATATTTTAAAAGACATTTTTATGACTAAAACGATATTTAAAAAACGCGTGGTGTGCTTTTGAGATTTCAATGAATAAAGCCAATACTGTTTGTGGACGGATTTTAAATCGGTATTTTTTATAAGAATTATGAAGAACTTAACACGCCTTCTTATAATATTGAGATAGAAACCACATTATCGCGCACTGTAGGTTAAATTAGGTGTTCTATTAGACAAATCTGCTGTAAATATGCTACATAATTGGCGAATGCATAATGTAGCAGCCATCTTTAAGAGCTTTGGCATCCCTGGCGGCCATCTTTAATTTTGATTACGACCACTATTAACGGGTCGCGATTCTAATCGGGCGGTAGGTTCAGCGAAGCACTGCTCTTACTAGGGCTAATGTTAGCAAATTATTTGAGACTGAGCCCCGTGAGGTCGCCTATTATTATTGTACAAGGCATGCCAAAGCTTCTTTGTAGATCGTTTTGTATAAACCAAACGACACTGCCACCTGTATAATTTATAAAGTCACCAAGAAATTTACGAATGGCATTTTATAGGTGAGTATTTCGGAAAATGTTTTCTCGGTTGTTCTTTTTCAATTAGGGAAGTTGTTGTGGTAAATGATCCAATAATGTTCCCCCGTGCCGGTTTTTGTTTCTTTTTTATTTCTATCTAAGCTGATGGCTAGACTAGAGAGACAATATCAGCGTCACCAGGCTAGTAGGTCAGCTCACGGGGCTCAAACCTGACGTTGTTGCTAACACGAATCCTAGCAAGAACCGTGCTTCGCAGCATCTACCACCGGATCGGAAAGCGACCCCCTGAGAAGATCCGCAGAGGAACTCAGTGGGCTGTGTCTGTGGGTTAATTTACTCGCCGAGCCCTTTGTCGCAAGCGACGGGTTCGGCGAGGACGGTGACCGGTGCTTGAGGTACCTAAAGGCACCGTTAATGGATCGGGAGGATCCGTAATGACGTGTACGGATATACACAGCGCATATGCGGCCGGCGTCGCCCGTAGTGTCGGGTGCGTCCCCCGCCCCCGCCCCGCGACCTCCCAAGCCCCCCAAGGACCCCCGACCCGAAGTCAAGGAGGTAAGTTCACCTCGACGGACCAAAAACCATAAGCGGCAGGCGGGCTATCGAGTTTTCCTATTAGTTTTAGTTGAAGTGGTGTTTAATCGACAAAATTTGACCGCCTCACCGTTTTTAATTATTTTCTATAGCTTTTGCCCGTGGCTTCGTCCGCGTGGAATAGTTCACAAATAATGCTATAATTTAGAACAAATTTGGTCAGCATAAAAAACGTTATAGTGAGCCAAACTCAACATATAGACATATGCTGTCGCGAACTTTTTTTAGATCTTTTAAAGGGGAACAATTTTGCGATACATTATTTTAGCGTAACTTTAACCGTTTCTGCAGCGCACGCAGCGGAAGCTCTCAAAAAGGGAAAAAAAAACCCGATTTTGAAACATTATTCATTGGTGCTCCGCTTGTATTGGTCTTAGCGTGATGTTATATACCCTATAGCCTTCCTCGATAAATGGACTATCTAACAGTGAAAGAATTTTCCAAATCGGACCAGTAGTTCCTGAGATTAGCGCGTTCAAACAAACTCTTTAGCTTTATAATATTAAGTATAGATTCTATTTATCGCAGTAAATATTAAGATTTTAGATTTTGCGTTGTTTTTAATATCGGGTCGTTCGACTTCCTCAATTAGTGATACGTTATGCTTACAAAGGTAGTGCGAAGCCATACGTAGTATTACAAATTTCTAGTTTCATTGTTCTGTGGCAAATCTGAACACAAACATAGTTCTGACAGTTGCTGTTTCCGACTTGACTTCAAACAATATTGCAATCAACAAACAATAATATGATTTCACTTGTATTGCGCACTGCACGTAATGAATTAAAATTCATCGAAGAATCTGACTTTGATTGAGATTACGGCTTCACGAAACACGACCCTAAAAAACTAAAAATACTTCTACGCATCGTAGCTGACCGCTTGGGAATAGGTATGCATTCAAAGGCAAAAAAATATTTAATCGTCTAAACTAGGATTTTGCTCTTGTTAGGTTTCTATTTATACAAGACCCCAAATATCGAATGTCTTTAGTCAGATATCAAACTATAATTTTAATTCAGACCCTGTGATGATAGTAGTCAGTGTAACGCTTAGGCAAAAGAGGCGACCTACTTACAGTACCCTGAAATAATTTCTTCCGCAACTATCTCATTATTACATTTGAGGCCATCAGCGTAAAAGTGGCCTAAACAACAATTTATAAAAATTGCAATTTATTTGAAACAAAATAAATTTTGGCTATGGACTATCCCTAGTCTCGGCGATAGATAGCAGATGGCTTTGTAAACATTATTTTCGGGCGTATTGTTTTTGCCTACGAAGCAGTGTAAAAGTAAATTCAAACCTTGATATCTCCATACTGACTATGGTAAGCTTAGGACATTTTTGCGCTGACAGCCTCATTTAAAATTGAATATAACAGTAGATTTATGTGTAGTAGTAGTTTTTTAAATATCTTGGCAACATATTGATCATAGATAATACACTTAATATGTGACGTAGATTCTTTATTAGACCAAAGTAATTCGTATTAAATTTGTATTGGAACTAAAATTACAAGATTTGGTAACTGTAGTTATTCAGTGGTGTCTAGTGCTAGTCTATTAGCGTTTTCTGTAGATAATTGTTTGTTTATTTAAAACTTTATTGGTTAGTACAGGATTGGTTTTGTTTTGAAATGTTAACTGCTTTGGGTGCAAAGAGGGTATTTATATGTCAAATAGGTCAATATTTGTAATCACTGGTTTGTGTCGCACAAAAGATGGATTACGACTCTTTCTCTCTCCTATCAAAAAATATTCACCTATTTCACACGTAATGAGTAGCACAGATGTATTTGTCTGCATGTATTAGAGTATAAATTGATATAGATAGATGTTACTGCTAGGAAGTGTAAATAGCCGTCAAAATTATACAAGACTGATGAAGGCTTATAGTTATGAGCATGATTTGGAAAAGTAATAATGTTTTAAAATTTCAATTATTTTTTTCTTTTTTCTAAATAACCCCTCGAGGTTTTTTTTTTATTGCCTAGATGTGTGGACGAGCTCACAGCCCACCTGGTGTTAAGTGGTTACTGGAACCCATAGACATTTACAACGTAAATGAAATGCGCCACACACCTTGAGGTACAAGTTCTAAGGTCTCAGCATATTAGGTATGTATATTTTCGGCTCATATGGGCACACGAAGTAGTAGTTAAAGAGTATGTGAATTTCGTTGTCCATTTTGAGATATGAGGTCGAAATCCCACCCTATACGAAGTCTGGTTTCCAAAGAAAGGCGCCCCAGGAGGAGGAGGCTCAGGAGACGATGGTGAAGAAGACAGTTCATCATCATCGAGCGATAGTGAACAGAGTTCCGCCAGCGGCCGCAGTGATGAGGACAGCGCTACTAGAAAGACCGGCAGGGTCGTGAGGGTCCAGCATCCGCATCCCGTTGTTAAGTACGTACTCATCTGCTTCGTGACAGTGATATTGACAGCTAACAGGCAAACAAATATAATTTCAATTTTTTATCTAAGACTAGTAAGTATGTGGTTCCCTTAATGCCCAGAGACTATTGTGTTCCAGAAACAACAATGTATTAGGTCGAGCAATGATTGAAATTCTACATTAATCAATAATGCCTCAAGATTGAAATTCGTTGTATGCATTAGATTAAAATTTGTTTTGTTGACATTTAGGAAATTACTTTTTTTTTAAAGGGATTTTATGACCTGGTAACTAAGACCTTTAAGTCATGTCTTATTTTAATTTATATTCATATTTTTATGAAAAATGATATTATGGAGTGAAATGAAATGAAGATGATTAATTTGAGACATTAATCAACTGAGATGAAATTAAATGAGATGATATGGGATGAAATATAATCTCAGTAAAATGGTGGTCATTTACTAAGATTTTTTCAGTGGATTTTTTTGAGGATCCCGAGAAGTTACGTCCAGCGGCTTTGTTTCATTTTCCCACATTTGTGCACTTTCACAGATATTAAACAGTTAATAAACCACCATTATTACACATTTAAACCTGAAGAAACACTAAATAGACAAAATAAAACAAATCACACAACTTCATTCCTCGCGTTCCCGCCAAAAAGTCCCTCTTAGGAAATTACCCCAGAAATGTATTGCCAACATTAAAAATGCTAATTCTACTAAAAAAGAAAAAAAAGCTGTTGGCAGCGGAGAAAATGATTGTTAACTGTTTATGTCTTTGCCTGCCTATTTATTTAAACATACACTGCGGGGAAAGAGTACTTTCTGTAGGTCAAATACAAAAAGTATTCATAGCGCGCAAAAAATTGACTTTTTAGTAATCTTATATTTTGACAACTTCTTGCGTTCGTTCGAAGTCGGCATATTAAGGTGATTATAATTATCGTGTGCTCTACGAAAAACGTATGTCGAAATGGTAATTACTGATTGAGCATATTTCAAGTTCTCACTAGTCACGATCACCCTTTTTATTACGTTGGCATATTTTATTTACCCATAACTGGCCGCTGGGGATCAGTGTGCTTAGTGCGAGTTTTTTAACGTTCTCGATTGCGTTAAAGTTAACTCAAATTTGTATGCAGTTGGAACAGTTCCCTTAGCGGCAAACGTTCTTCCATACAAATTAGAGTTAACTTTTACGCTATCGAGAACGTTAAAGAACTCGCAGTAAGCACACATGTCTGGTTTATTTCGAACTTAAGGACGACTACCCACTAAAGCTCAATGATCACTCTCTTCCGACGCGGTGACGTCCGTGACAGAACTCAGATATCACCACCATAAATCAGTACTTTTTGCATTTCGATTTTCGAAGACGGATACTCATTATGCAATATATTCAAATTAAAATAATGGCATTCACTTATTTTTTTCCTATTAAGCTGGTTGCCTTGAGAGGCTATGCTAGCGTAACCTAACAAGTAGGTGAGCTCAAGGGGCTCAAACCTGACGACGTTGCTAATACTAATCCTAGCAAGAGCAGTGCTTCGTAGAATCTACCACCGGATCGGAAACGCGACCCACTGAGAAGATCCGGCCAGAAACTCAGTGGGCTGTGTCTGCGAGTTAATTTACTCACCGAACCCTTCGATAGGTTCGGGTTCGACGAGATTTCGGCGTATAAGTGTACTACATTTCATATTTCATATGTGTTTCCTGTGCTGATAACAGAAAATGGTCGGTAGGGTTCGATGAATGGGTCAACTAGTTAGATTTTACGCTGCTATTAGAAATACTAAGCTTTAAAAAAGTTAATTCACTCGCCGAGCCCTTTCGACGGCTTGACGAAAACGATGACTGGTGCTTGAGGTACACTGTGCTATCTACGAACGAAATGTTGTGAATTACTGAACGGTAATTCGCAGGCGCGCTCGCGTGGTCGGCCGGCAATGGATGTCGTGCGCCTCGGCCCGCAGCAACCAGGACGGGCAAAGACGTTTCGAAGAACGGGCAGCGAGACAGATGAGGGCAGCGCTCGCCAGGAGACAGCCCCTTACCAATAATAAAGCAAAACCACCTCCAGGTACAATCACGTATCCTAACCTTAACTTAAACATTACGAGGGGTGAAAAGTTATTTGGTATAAGCGACATTTTCGCAAAATTTTCATGAGAGTCGTTTAGTTTAAAATTTGGGAAAAATTTAATAACAAAAAACTTCACTTATTTGAATGGGGTAAACTTAATTGAAATTCAATTAAAAACATCGGATTGTAGATTTTTTTTTATTGCTTAAATGTGTGGACGAGCTCACAGCCCACCTGGTGTTAAGTGGTTGAGATATAAGTTCTAAGGTCTCAGTATAGTTACGACTGCACCACCCTTCAAACCGAAACGCATTACTGCTTTATGGCAGAAATAGGCAGGGTGGTGGTACCTGCCCGTGCGGACTTCGAGTTCCTACCACCATTATAAAGCACCGTGATGCTTTAGACCAAATAAAACGGACCTTTAATTACAAAGATAAATGTCGCTTAAACTATAATCTTTCACCCCCTCGATATATATTTCACACGTGAAATGGCGACGTGATCAAATCGCCCAGCCAATTTAATGTCGCAACGTTTGCTTCGTCAAAACCTTTCCTATGGTTAATATGTTAATTGTTCTTATAGGCGGCGTGTACGCACGTCTAGAGGCGGAATGGCGCGAAAAACACGGTCAACGACCCCGCAATGCGGCGCCGGCACGACCGCGGCACGTAACCAACAGCAAATATAAGCCCGCCGCATGAAAATAATGTTGTTTAATCAAAATAAAGGAGTTTTGATAAAAGAAAAAGTATTAATTCATTATTTACCTACGGACTTAACCTCTTCGAATTACGAATTTTTGGAAGTATAACGAACTCGTGGTAGGGTCTCTTTTATGCCAGCGCGGGTAGTTACCATTTTATGTGTCCCAAAATAGCTCTAACAGTTATTTTACAATTAGAAGGGGAGACAGTCTGTACACAATACAATCAAGGCCGATCCAATGAGATCCACGGAAGTAATTTTGCTATTAATTAAATTTATAGCAACCCTAACGCCTGCCGCGTCTGATCGCGCGCCGCGACCAATCAGGGACTCTCGTTGTCGGTTCCCGGCGCGATTCAAAGAGTAGCGACCGAGTGGCTTTCCTTTTGGCAAGCCGCGCGTGCGCCTTTACTGGCGCCGACAGTTCACCCGCAACCACCGAAGCATACGCACGAGAATACGTCCGCACCTCGCTCGCTACCATTCCTTTTCGAACTTGTTTGTGGGACCCTCTGGAGTATTCATACCCAGTGCTCCAGCTGGACAACACAAAAAATTATTATTTTTTCCTATGTACCTATCCTAGTAACCTCCTAATATCCTAGTAATGCGTTTTGGTTTGAAGGACAGGGCAGTCGTTGAAACTATACTGAGACCTCAGAACTTATATCTCAAGAAGGGTGGCGCATTTACGTTGTAGATGTATATGGGCTCCAGTAACCAACCACTAAGCAATAAACAAAAAAAAAACTTGAGGGGTTGTTGTTGTTGTTAGTTTCGATCGCTTCGTGTAGGTGAGCTCACGGGGCTCGGCCTGGCGAATTTTAATAACACTAGCCATAGCAGTGCTTCGCCGATTCTACCACCGGATCGAAATTGCGACCCACTGAGTAGATTCGGCGTGAAACTTAGTGGGTTAAGTTGCACGACAAACCCTTTGTCGCGTTCGGTGCTTAGAATGCCTAAGAGCACCGATAGTGGAACGGGAGGATCCGAAGTGACCGTGTTTTAGGCGACGGTAACTGCTTACTGGTTGGCCCGCAGGATCGGGTATGTTTAAGGCGGCGGCGGCTTCTTTAAGAGGGTTATCGTGTCTCACGCGTGCACGGTATCAGTAGTTACAAATATTTTATGAACAGATGAGTAGAAGGGTTATTTTGAAAAAATCCTGAAAAGCACCTCACGCTTTTTTACAATAAAATCATTTTTTCTTACACTATTTTTAATCCAAATTTATTTTCTATTTTTAGTTGGATTTTCTATAAAAGCGTATTTTATTAGTTTTTTAAACTATTATTTATTTCGAAGTAGCGCTCCGACGCTGACTTCATATACTTGTGTCGGTTCTGATTTGAGTTCGTCGTGAAAACCTACATTCCTCAGGTATCAGTGCTCCGACGGCTAATCATGTAATATCCGAATTCACTGGTTTGTAGGGTGTTTGTGTGCGCTACGGGCCACAAGAGCGAACACTACACTTTATAGGGCAGGACCGGTATTACCATAAACTCATAATTATTGAATTTATTGCAGTTTGTCGCCTTTATATTCAGTAATTTGTCGGTGTTAAAAACCAAAGTCTGAATTTAGTCAAATATTTTATTTCTTATTCTAAGATTTAGAAGCGCAGCCGATGGGGATATTGGCTGGAGCGGAGTCCGAAGGCCGCCTTGAGGTATCCGCGGAGCACCTTCTTGTCGGGTCGGGCTCCGATGGCTTTGATCACAGCCTCGTCGACTGTCTTCTGATCGGTTTTGCGCTGCTCAGATGGAACGTATTTCTGAGGAAGAAAGTATTCACAAATTATATACTCTATCAGAATATTGATACTTTATAAAACTTTTTATTTATTTATTGCTTATATGGGTGGACGAGCTCACAGCCCACCGGGTGTTAACTGGTTACTGGAGCCCATAGACATCTACAATGTAAATGCGCCACCCGCCTTGGGATATAAGTTCTAAAATCTCGGTCTAGTTACAACAGCTGCCCCACTCTTCAAACCGAAACGCATTACTGCTCCACGGCAGAAATAAGCAGGGTGGTGGTACCTACCCATGTGGGCTCACAAGAGGTCATACCGCCAGTAAAGAACTTTAAACTTTTAAAACTTTATGTGTAATGGAATTTATGTTCAGTTGTAAAGCTGCTTTATATGATAAACACCTCAGTTTTAGTTTTCTGTGCATTACAAAACAGATGTTTATAACTTGATAATCAACATGCCCTAAAATACAAAGTAGCTTGAACATAAAGTTGTTAGAACCTGTAGAAATTACTTGTTCAATAGACAATTCACCACATTCACAAATTACTTCTAAAATGAAGGAAATATTATATAGAATAAAAATTACTAGTTTTGAGCCCAGCTAACACACGCACTGTTTTAAGACATTCAAGTAACAAACAGTATTCACACTCACAAGTGGCAACCTGTTTGCAATATATTAATGTTGTTAGTGCCATACATCATTCATCACAAGTCAAAATAAGCATCTTATATATAAAAGGCAGAAAGCAATTGGATACTGCTTTAACCTCGATCAATCAATTTGGGTTATTAACAATTGAAAGCCATCATATATTTTGTTCACAAAAAATATGTATAAAAAAAGAAAATGGAAGAGTAAATGTAATACACAAAATATTGCCGCGGTAGTGATTATATGGTCGAATTTCAATATTCAAGTCAGCATTAGTTTCAATTTTACTATATTTACTTTATAAAAAAAATATCTTACCTCTTTTTTTGTGGCAAAGATGTCATCACCCTCTTTGCGTTTGACTGTACGTTTGACGCACTTCTTATTCTTCTTGAAGTAATCATCATTGAAGTGTTTTGGCAGTTTGAAGTTGCCGAGTGAAATTCTGGTGGAGGTGCCGATCACATAGCGCTGAGGAATGCGGCGTAGCGGGCACGAATTGAACTGAAAATTGATTGTTAAGCATGTTATTATTTATATTGTATTCTCTAAGGATATTAACTTCTCTCTTAGCAACTATGGATAAATGTAATGCTGAGAAATTATTAATGATAAATGTAAGTAGTAATTTTTTTTTATTGCTTATATGGGTGGACGAGCTCACAGCCCACCTGGTGTAAAGTGGTTACTGGAGCCCATAGTCATCTACAACGTAAATGCGCCACCCACCTTGAGATATAAGTTCTAAGATCTCAGTATAGTTACAACGGCTGCCCTACCCTTCAGACCGAAACGCATTATTGCTTCACGGCAGAAATAGACAGGGCGGTGGTACCTACCCGCGCGGACTCACAAAAGGTCCTACCACCAGTAAAATTCAAATAAGTTTGTTGGCATGGGTAAATTAAAGAACCTGCTTTTTTAAGTTTACAATTTCAGCAGTACAAAGTATTGTAGCTATCAGCAACAGCACAATTAAATACCGCACTGAATAACTATATATATTTTCCTTTTTTTATTGCCCCATGCAGCCTGTGGTCCGCCTGATGATGAGCGGTTACTGTCACTCATGAACGTCAAGCAATGTCAGGGTCAAAGCCAAGCCACTGCAGAACCAAGCGGCTGCTTACAAACTTATAACTATATCAACATTGATAGCCAAATCAGTGTCTCAATTTTTTTTGTGTATAATTGTATACCCTTAAAAGAAACCAAAAAAAGGATGATTATTATACATACTGCAAAAGGTCCAGTAACTAAAAGCAGACCGCTGGGCAGAATTCCAACAAGTACAACCCTCTTGCCTGCATGTCTACCAGCAAGGAGAATGCAAACAGTTCCTATCTTCAGGTTGGGTCGGATCCTGCGTACATGCTTGCTGAATGGACGGCCACCAGATGAGGCACGGATTCTGGAATAAAAATTGGGAACATTATTACCGTTGTAGTTTTCAGTGTGTTTCCTACACATTATGAATGTTCCCTCAGTGCAACTAACATTATTATAAAAACCCATTTAAATTTATCACCCTTCCTGATATACAAGAACATAATTACTTCAATTGTATTGCTAATCTATTATTCTCAAACTTAAACAAATAAAGGTAGTTATTTAATTTTTGAAAAAATTGTCAAGTTTAAGGTAATTGAACATATTCTCAGGGACAGTTTTCAATAAATTGAATTTCATGTGAACACCCAGCATTAAACCCACAGATTTTTTTACCTTTTTTTTATTTTTTTTATTTAGTTTATTTAATGGTAATGATGTTACCGCATAATTCTACATACAATATTAGGCTAATTGTTTAATACACAACTATAATAATAAAATGTCAAGGCTAAGAGACATTGCTCCATGATATTTGAGTGCCTTCTTGACTGTGCATAGTTACTAGGCACTTTCTAACTTTTGAAGTCGTCGTGGCCTAAGGGATAAGACGTCCGGTGCATTCGTGTTGAGCGATGCGCCGGTGTTCGAATCTCAGACGGGTACCAATTTTTCTAATGAAATATGTACTCAACAAATGTTCACGATTGACTTCCACGGTGAAGGAATAACATCGTGTAATAAAATTGAAACCCGCAAAATTATAATTTGCGTAATTACTGGTGGTAGGACCTCTTGTGAGTCCGCACGGGTAGGTACCACCGCCCTGCCTATTTCTGCCGTGAAGCAGTAATGCGTTTCGGTTTGAAGGGTGGGGCAGCCGTTGTAACTATACTGAGACCTTACAACTTATATCTCAAGGTGGGTGGCGCATTTACGTTGTAGATGTCTATGGGCTCCAGTAACCACTTAACAACAGGTGGGCTGTGAGCTCGTCCACACATCTAAGCAATAAAAAATAAAATAAAAAAAATAAGAGATACCAGCACCATATTAATGTTATTATAATGATGTTCTCATATCATTATCATTGGCTAGCAAGTATCAAGCTCATTTAGTATGCATACATTCAATATATGTTGCACATCATCAATAATATCACAATCTCGGCATTTGTGTCAATTAGTTTTACCTCTATACATTCCTTTCTTGAAACTATGGGCCACAAAAGGGTCTGTAACCTGAATCATATATCTGATCTACACAATAATGGAATGGAATTGGAATGCAAAAATTTGCAGAATACTCCCAATGTAGGTAATAGTATAAATTTATAAGTATTTTCACAAGTTCCTTACTTTTTTGCCAGACCTGCCACTCTACAAGGAAAATAAAGACGGGCCGGCCATGTGGCCTCCAAATGTCAGTAATAGTATACATTTATAAGTATTTTCACCAATTGCTTACTTTTTTGCCACTCTACAGAGGTAATAAAGACAGGCCATATGGCCCGCTTGACGTTAAGATGGTCATCATCGCAAATCAATGTCAGAAATGTCAGGGGCATAGCTAAGCCACTACCTACTTATCCTTATTGTACTTACTTCTCCTGAGTGGGGTAGAAGGACTTCCTACGTTTGAGGGGTACTGTTCTGGTTCCCCCATTCTTCTCACCTCCAATCTGCTTTACAACAACAGTCAGCTTCTTGGGCTTCTCAGGCTTAGGGTTCTTTTTGCCAATGAACTTGTATTTAGCCTGTAATTGATTTCAAAATTAGAATGTACAAATATTTTACTTTTCTTCCATAATGTGAATGCAGCATATAACTTAACTCAGGAAAAGTCCATGAATGTCATCAGTGAATACATGACTATACTCGAGAAAATAAAGTCTAGTTGATGTGTTTGTTTAAAGTGTATAACACTATTTATATAGTAGCGTTTTGGTTAACTCTTATTTTGAATTGCTTAGGTTGATGGACGAGCTCAAGGTCCACCTAGTGTTACGTGTTACCAGAGCCCATAGACAAGTACAGCTTAATGCCCACCTTGAGAATCAGATATGAGTTCTAAGGTCTCAATATAGTTACAACGGCTGCCTCACCCTTCAAATCGAAACGCATTACTGCTTCACGGCAGAAATAAGTAGGGTTTCGGTATTTAAAAAAAAAGATTCGATTAACAGCGAAACCTAAGTGCACATGCATTTTTGTTTATAAAATTGTTTGTATTTTTATTAGTATAGTTGATTTTAGATTTGCTAAACAAATAGCACGACAATTTTGATTTATATTTGTTTATTAAGAAAATAGAAACTAGCCTTCTTGTGGAACATCTTGGATTTGGAGAAACGCATCACTCCGTTGCCCAGATCATAGTTCCTGGGTTTTTTCGTAGATTTTTTTTTAGTCACCGCACCTGCAGTTGCGGCAGCAGGCTTGGCCACCGCTTTAGGCTGTGTTGGAGCCATCTGTAAATCGAAAACACAATCTTTAGATCGAACACCTGACTTGACGGTCAAAACTTAGGTTATGTCTATCCAGCCCGTGTTTCCTTGCAAACAAGTAACACTATCGTTACTCGTAGTTATGAATTTGTAGACATAATAAGCAGGCATTACACTACAAATTATATTCAATCAATTCACGAAACTTAACGTCACAATCCTATCTAACCAAAATAATAATTTAGAACTTCCTACATTCCACTAAAATATTTCACAATACCACTTGTTTGAAGGATCCACTATGATATTACAGCACGAAAACGAAGAAAACAGTTGATTTGGAATCAATTAAAAAGGATTTATTTTCATTAAAAACAACACCAACTCACATTCAAACCGGGTTCAAGAAAAAGGAATCTTTGCAGACTTTTTTGTTTATGGATAATGTCATAGTGATGTTACTCATTTATTTTCACATCGATTACATTACCGATTTTTGTTGTCTTTGAAACATTTTTGTGCACACACTAATCTGTACTTTAAACGTTCAATTTAAAAGATTAATTGATTACACTTTATTGAAGTAAAAAATTCTCAATTGAGTAATTTCTATATTTCAGATAATGACGACTACAATTCCAATTACAAAAAGAAAGAAAAAGAAACCCACGTGAAGAGCAACATCTGAACGCATCCAAACAAATGTCAAAAAAGAAATTCATTTGGAACGTCAAAAGAGTTCAGTTTGCAAAAATGGCTTCTCTGAGGAGCCCGTCTTCGCCATCGGACGGTTATAAAAGATTCAGTGATGATTTCGCTAACACCAGTATCAACAATTACGGCTCGAACGTCTCAAGTAAACGAAAACATTTTTTAATGCACCGTAGCCACCAGCCTAATGTACGCTTTCCTTGTTAACAATACGTTAATTGTAATGCAATTAATAATGTTTTTTTAAATTTCATCTCTGTATTAAGCTTAATTTCTGTTGCAACACCAGCTGACGCAGGTTAAATAATGATCTTTTGTAAAAATGCAGTAAATCCTATATACGTCGAGGATGAGTCATTTCCTACGTGAATCTAACATATGTATATAATAAACATAACGCGACCTAGTTCTTGGAACTAACGTGAATGAGCTTCCGATGGTCTGCTTAATTCTAACGGAACAGATTACGCTGCATGAATAGTTAGCCGCTGTTTTTGTGTTTTTTGTATAGTATTTTAGTGCTTCAAAATCTATATCTATATCTATACTTCTATACTTACTTATAATATTATAAAGAGGAAAGATTTGTTTGTTTGTTTGTTTCGAATAGGCTCCGAAACTACTGGACCGATTTGAAAAATTCTTTTTCCATTAGAATCCGACATTGTCCCAGATGAACATAGGCTACTTTTTTTTAATTTTTATTTTATTTTATTTTTTTGGTTTCATGTGTGTTTTAATGTTTCCGAAGCGAAGCGAGGGCGGGTCGCTAGTCTACTCTAAAGCGTTTGCTATATACATTTAAAAAAAAGTAATTTGACAGTTTACAAATCTCAATGTGTTAGTTTTAACTGAAACTGAAACTCCGAAGAGGTACAATTTTCATAAATAGCCACTATGGTTTGAGCGTGATCGAATGGAACTATTCATTTGTGTATAAATCTGGTTGAAACCACTTTGTTCTGCCCTAATTGTTGACTACAATTGCTAGGTACTGTATGAGAAAACTAGAAATTTATTTTTTAAATATGTCAATAAATATCTGCATGAAAATAGAATATCCATCAACTTTAAAATTCGAAAATTGTCTTGTTTACAAAACACAATGATCTATATATTAATACGTGAAGCAAAAACTTTGTATCCCTTTTTAAGAAAATTGCGCGGACGGAGGAGTATGAAATTTTCCACACTTATAGAGAAGAAGTGCACAATGCTAACATTTTTCTTAAATAATGCATAAAAGATACATTAAATCAATAAAGAAAACATTACACACACTAGATACCATGCATTTGACGCACACACGCATGCATACTATTTATTGTCAAACTTTTGTTCTTGACGTCTGTGGTCAAATTGAGAATAGATTAAATATTTTTTGTCTTTATTAATATTTTTTATAGAGTAGCCTTGGCGAAATTTGTGATTATAGAAGTATAAAATACAATCATAATAGTGTACAAACTTACAATTCCAATTAATTATAGTCGAATTTCGACTACTGCGGGACCTCTAGTTATAATAATTACTTACAGAATTTAATTTACTTTACGGTCCATAACTTACAAAAGTAGCCGTATTTTTTTCAAATAAACTTGAACTGTCTGATGTGACTTAGTTAAAAAAAAAACAATAGGTAATTCCAAATACACAGAACTACGCGTTTTCATAAAAAAAAAGTTTTTAATTGTGAATTTTTCGTTTTTTTATATCTCAATATCTTGAAACTTCAGACCCTAACCTGTCGACGTAAAAGCACACTGATGATGGTAATTTTCAGCAGTCGAAGCCATGTTGATGATTGTGTGATCTGCGTCTTCCTAAATAAGGTCTATTTTTAGCTAGTTCTCATTTATGGACGAAAAAAACTTATTACTGCTTTTAGTGCATACATACCTACCTACTTACATAGCACGTATGGGCAGGTAGCGAAATAGTCTCGCGTTCTGGTTTGAAGGGTCGGACAACCGTCATACATGACAACTGAGATTTCGACCTCATGCCTCAAGGTGGATGGTGATAAACATACTAAGGTTTCCGGTAACACTCCCCAGTTTCGACTGGGAATTGAATCTGGGGAGTGTCGAGAGGTTTCAAACCACTCTATGAACTATGCGATAGTTAGTTAAGATCAAGCGATCCCACAGTCACAGCCCACTGACTTTCTCGCCGGATCTTCTCAGTGGGTCGCGTTTCCGATCCGGTGGTAGATTCAGCGAAGCACGGCTCTTGCTAGGGTCAGTGTTAGTAGCTCTCCGGTTAGAGCCCCGTGAGCTCACCTACACACGCTAGGGTAAGCTGACATAGCCTCTCAAGGCTATCAGCACAAATAGGAAAAAAAATAAAAAATCAAGCGAATAAACGTTGCTTAATATCATCTATTGCTTAGCGAATGATCTCCAATTTTATACTTGAAGGTCATCGGTAAAAACTTAAGTCAATGGACTGCACTGACCTCCTCTCGAGATGTTTGGAACATGATTCACGAAACAGAATGTAGCGTTGTCTTTTTATTAGGTAGGCAGCAATTTGGCTTTTCCCTGACACCACCTCACTACTCACCATCAAGTGGGCCGTGGCCTCGTTCTCTTGCAAAGGCAATAAGCAAAATAATTATTATTATTATAAACAATAAGACAAAATTTTAATAACATATATAACCGGGATCCAAAATAATGGCCATGGCTTGGCCTGGATCTTGTTTTACCTCGCGTGCCCCCTAGCCCCGGGGACCTCGTAGGAGGTTCAGCCAATACCGTCTTTACCACAAGGGCACACGGGGCCCGTGCCCAGGGCCCCCATTCTCAGGGGGCCCCGAAAGACCGACAATTTCTCTCACACATTTATTCTCAAAACATTTTTGTCGGGCACATTACACTGTTTTCACAAATCAGTAATCAGAAGGTATTTACAAGGCATATACTATGCCTATAATAGAAGATTTTGCTCAACAGAAATCCCGAAAGAAACCGTTATCGAAATCGTAACCAAAAAACCAGCAGCATTCTAATATCATTAATGACATTTTATATCATACTGTATTTGATTACCTATGATAAATGGTCATACTCAGTATTTTTTTTAAATTATAATTCGCTTTTTTTACTTTCCAAAAGGCCTCAATACTATTGTGTGCCCAAGGGCCCCGTCCTAGCTTAAGACGTCCCTGGGTTCAGCCCTCGGCCCGAGAAAGAAAAATGGCCTGGATCTTGTTGAGTCTGTCTAACAGTTTTATAATCAAGATAAATTTAAAACCATAGCATTTGAAGCTTCGCACTAAAGCGGATGTGTTAGTTATGTTTCGGCGGTTTTTTTGGTATTATGTTTGTACTTAAATAAAGTGTAAAGGAATTATTTTTAATATTGTAATATGAAGCGAATGAATAATTAGACCTGCTTGCGGAAGATTGGATAAACATGTTTGCAGCGACCATTTTTAGGACAAGCTTTTTCTTTTAAATTATTAATTCAACATTTTTTTGTGGCTCTACTATATAATAATGTTAGCCGCTTCGCTGGGCATTTAAAATCAACATCATTATTTATTGTCATTATTATTAGGGAGTCCAACACTCAAATAAATATTAGCCTATCCATTAAGCACATGTATTTTCTACATGGATACCAAGTTCAAAGTCAATCGGATGCATGGTTTAGTAGTTATAACGGAACATCCGTAAAAACCACTGTAGATTTATATATTATTATAGAAGTATAGATATACATATATGACGTAATACTCTTCCTACTCTACCCTTCAAGGATTTGAGTTTCTTCAATTAGTTTCGGCATGTCTATCGAATTATCTTCATATAAGTTTATACATTTAAAAATCATTAATAACCTACTCAGTAAAATGATGGGAATTTACGATTTCGTGCCACATCTTAGAAAAAACGGACAAGCCACAGGCAACGCCATTAGCTAGTTGTCAAATAAAACAAGTCACGCTGTCAATATTACTGTAACACGTTCCCGCCAAAATGCCCGCGCAGTGTATTATTTGTAAATCACCCTTTACTGGTGTTAGGACCTCTTGTGAGGTAGGTTTCGTGGAGTCGGAGTGGTGGAGCTCGATGGGTTTTTTTTTTTTTTTTTTTTTATTAAAAAAAAAAGGACCTCTTGTGAGTCCGCGCGGGTACGTACCACCGGCTGCCTATTTCTGCCGTGAAGCCGTAATGCGTTTCGGTTTGAAGGGTGGGGCAGCCGTTATAACTATACTTGAGACCTTAGAACTTATATCTCAAGGTGGGTGGCGCATTTACGTCGTAGATGTCTATGAGCTCCAGTAACCACTTAACACCAGGTGGGCTGTGAGCTCGTCCACCCACCTAGCAATAAAAAAAAAAATAACACTGCCCTAAGAATCATTAATACCATCACCTTAAGCTAGAGAAGTTTTATTACATCAGATTGTCTCAAGGGAAGGTTGCATTGTGTCTATAAGCTCCGCAAAAACAAACATGATTGTTACAGTATTTAATTATTTTCCTTTAGTGTCTAGACTTATTCGTGCCCATAAATTTGTCTAGCCTGCCATCCACGACCTCACTATCGACCGCTTAGTCTAGGAAACCGTTCAAAGGTCAAACTTAAGCGAACTGAAACGCGCAGACTTCTCTTTCGATATAGCTTAACCTTGCGTATTGTTTATTGAATAAAGGCTAAAACGGGACTCGCAGGCGCAAAAGACCATTTTCATTTTGAAATTGATTGAGTTTCACCTTTCGTTATTGGCACGCATCCGGGTTAGATGACATCATTCGAAAATCGAAATGTGAACATCAGGTAGGTCGTGACGTAGCCAGTGACGCCTACAATAAAAAGAAGAAAAAAAAAATGAAAAATTAGAATTGTTTACGCGCGATATTTTAAATTAACAACTAAAATCAAATGAAATTTGAAAAAAAAAAACAACACGCACTTAAATCTAAATGTGGTTTAGCGAGCTATTTAGATTTCTTTAGTGAATTCCCTCGAAGTCGTAAAAAAAATTATTACTCGACTGTCAAATTCGCCAAACGCCATATTGGTTTTATTGACACGTCTTAGTAAAATATTTCTTGACTTGTGGAATATTAAGACGCATTGTACCACTTTTCATTTACTGAACTACCTACGAAAAGTTTGTACATATTTTCA